AACAGCTTTCTACCATCACTGGAGTCCATTACGGACAAACAGCACAGCTGAGCTACCACTAGCCTGATTTACAGCCACATCCATTTCATGATGCCAACAGAGACAGGGACCCTGGTTCTGAGTTTCCCCCCACCCAGGGCTCAGCCTGAGACCATTCATGCAGCCAGGGCCTGCACCTCAACGCCGTCCTTCAAGCGGATCATCATTCTGTCCCCTGAAGAGGGATGAGGGTACACGGTGCCGATGTGGACAAAGTGGAACTGGCCTTCGGGGCTCTGCTGCCCTTGCAGAACGTCAAATTTTGTCACCAAATCTCCATGGGCATCGAACGCGATGTGGGTCCCATCAGGGGTCTGGAAGCGCACCTTCCTGAGGGCGTGAAGGAGCTGGGGGAGGAGGCTGACATGTAGCCTGGCCAGGGCCCCGGGTGGGGATGGCAGGTGGAGCTCTACGTAAGGCCACCAGGTCCATCAGGCACATGGGGTGCAGGGCCCAGGAAAATGTTCCACCTTTAATTTCTGGTAAACTCAAAAGGAAAGTTTAATAATACATCAAGATACCCTTATCTTCACCAGGCATCCACCCATTAAATTTTCATTACCTGTTCTGTGGAGGTAGGAACCCAAGACACCGTGCTGCTGTGCCATCCTGAGTCTCCCAACCCCTCCCGTCCCATGTCTCAGGTGTATGACATCCACAGAAGGCTCTGCCATCCACACTCCCGCTCCACCCCAGCCTTTTGACATTCCTGGTCCAGCTGCTGCTCTTCCTGCACTCTCTCCCATTTGCACAGGCTTCTCATCATCCCGGCTGATCTCAGATCCATCCTCACAGAAGCCTCGCCTTCCCATCCCACCACAACTTCATCCACTTCTCAGGATGCAGGCATTATGTCTTGTAAGTTTCCAATCTGTCTGCCCTGCCCAACAGCCAGACATTCTCAGTGCCCGTCCATCCCCAGCCCCATGGTGTTCTGAACCTAAGCAGTAGAGGCCATGTGGTCTGACTGGAGGTCACAGCAGACTGCACTGTGTCCTCCGAGCCAGCCTGGTATCCCCAGAAGACACACCTGGACTCCAGAATAAGGATGTCCACCTGCACCCAGGGTGGGTGGAAAAGACATGCTGTTGTGGGGTCCCTGTCCTCCCACCTGTCAGAAGGTGGCAGTCAGAGAGAGCAGACATCACATGGTGAAGGGAAAGGTTAAAAACTCAAACCTTAGAGGCACTTGTGATGCTTGTCTCTGGCCAGTAGCCTGCATTCCAAAGGCAAATGGGCCCACATCATCTGGATTCTACAGAAGAGGTCAGAGAAGAACCCGTGTCTGAGCCTTCCCCTTAGGATGGATATGAAGGTTCAGTGAGGTATCACCCTGGGCATATCGGGTGGGAGAAACCACAGGTTCTCCCCTAAGTGCCCTCAGGCACGTGGACGTAGAAGGAGAAGACAACGACAAGGTTACCTGGAGGGGGTAAGGTCTTCAGGATGGGATATATTCGTAGAGAAAGGTTTAACAGAATATGACTTTCCTATAAGACTGAGGTAGAAGTAGACAGAGGACCCCATGTGTGCACAGCCTGGATATCCAGATGGAAACTGACCAGGGGCACAGCTGGAAACAGCCAAGAGGATATGAAGGCTTGGGCAACTTAGGGACTTAGACCTCTTCTCAAAATAAAGCAAAAAATAAGCTGTGAACCTAGCTCTTTAGCAGCACATACCTAGGTTAGATCCAGTGCCATCAGATGACTCTTTTTAGTAAAAGTGTAGGTCAGGCATAGTGGCACATGCCTGTTATCTCAGCACTCAGGAGGCTGAGGCAGGAGGATCATGAGTTCTAGGCCAGCCTGGGCTACACAGTGAGTCCAAGGCCAACCTGAACTACATAGCAAGACTGCCTCAAAAACAAACAGTAAAAGTGTAATTTATCACATATTTGAGACACACTTAGACTAAACCTTATTTTTATCAAATGAAACACAGAAGGCTTCACTTGTTGAATTTTAGATTTTAAAAAATGACTCTTAACTGGATGAAATGCCAGCACTGAAAAAGACTGAGACAAGAGGATTGAAAATTCCAGTGTAGACTAGGAAACGTAAAGAGACCCTATCTAAAAATAAATGATAAAAAGAGCTGGAAATTGAATTCAAGGGTGGAGCATTCCAGGGTTCAATCCAGGTACTACAAAAGGAAAAGGTCTTTCTAGCACAAACATAATGTATTTAATATTTGGGATACATTTATCCTCAAAGTTATTTGTCATTATCTCACTTCAAATTTGAATCACACATAATAAACACCATTTGGTGGTTACCAAAACTCAAATTTTGAAAATATACCAAAAAACCTATTTAATGTATATTTGAATTTTGATTTTCACCAGCCATCCTGTATTTACTAAGTTGACCTACCCACAGGAATGGAACCCATCAGAGGCCACACAGCCAGCGGGTCCCTGAGAATCCTGGTTCAGTGATCCTGCCAGATGCTTCTGGGCTCCAGGCACAAGTGTCCTCGAAGCTGCACAGAGATTGCTCATTATCCCTTCCCAGCAACCCCACTCACCTGCCAGGGATGGAAGTGCCGGGGGCCTGCGCACACCCCACCCCCATGCTCACAGGACACCAGATCCTGCAGGGCGTGGGCGACACTGTACACAGCCGTGTATGCGATGTCCACTCTACTCACATCCTGGAAAGGATGTTCATGGCCGCTCAGACTCTCGCTACCTGAGCACAGCTGCACAGCTCCAGACACTGTACCGTTCCCATGCGGCCACCTGCACCCGAAGGTGGCCTCCCAGAACCTCCCCAGGAACATGTCCTCTGGGGTCCGACTTGGGTGTAGGCTGGCGAAGAACTCAGGGAACCCATGTACGCGGTTTCTGTGGCACAGAAGGCCAAACGCACCCCGCAGGACCCGAGAGATGCCCGGCATGGCCAGGGCAAGTGCCGTGTGCAGGAGGCCCTCGCTGACCCAGACCTGGCCCAGGACACAGACACCCAGCAGGCTCTGCAGGATGAGCTTGAAGTTAGAGTTGTTCAGGAAGACCAGGACTCCTGTGGCAGTGCTGATCTGCATCTTCTGCACCACAGTGCTGATCTTCTCAGGGGAGTGCTGGGAAGGCACTGAGAGGTGGAATTCGATGCAGATGTCTGCCCTTCCCAGTTCCCCAGCAGCCAGAGCACCAGCCTGCTGCCCAAAGTCATCGTCCTGAGCCAGGATGACAATCCAGGACCATCCCAAGTGCAGCACCAGCTGGGTCACAGCACGTGAGGATGTTAGATCACTGGCCAGAGTGCGCAGGAAGGAGGGGAACTGGGTTTTGTCACTGAGGCTGGGCAGCGTGGATGCATAACTGACCTATGGGGAAGAGCAGGGCATGGGAGGGAGGACCAGGACTCAGACACAGGCTTGTCACTGGTCTAAACTCAGGATGCAGATACAATGAGGACAGGGGGAGGGGCCAGCTCGCCCAGGTGGGCTGGACAGCCTCCCAGACTTGGCCCTGTAAGCAGCACACCCCATGCTCATCCTCAGTCCTGGGCAGTGGGACGGCTGGTCACACGGTTCAGACCAGTGCTAGGATACCATCCTCTTTGGAGAGACACAGATGCTTCTGGGCTCCAGGCACAGGTGTCCTCGAAGCTGCACAGAGATTGCTCATTATCCCTTGTAGAAAGACACAAGGGAAAGACAGGGAAGACCAGTTGGAATCAAAACCAAAACTCAACACTGCGCTGCCTGAGACACACTTCATCCACAGAGACACACAGACTATACCTGAGAAGATGGGAAACCATGCTCCCTGCAGCCAGAGCCCCAAAGCAAAGAAGAGTAGCCACTCAATTCAAAATAAAACTGACCACAAGAGACAAAAAATATATTAAAACTTCAATATTAAAATAATATTAAACACCAACTATTGCTAAAGGGAACAAGTCACAAAGAAGAGATAGCAGTCGTAAATATAAATGCACTGAATGTCTACGCAACCAATTTCATAATGCAAAACTACTTGACATACAAAGACAGACAGATCCCATTGTAATCAGAATGGGGGGCTTCAATAACCCCACTAAAAACAGATAAATCTACCAAACAAAAAAATCAACAATAAAGTAGAGTTGAACCACATCTTTGAACAAATGCATGTAACAGTTCCTTACACAATATTTCATCCAAATGGCTATACACATTCTTCTCAAGTGTCAGCAGAATTTCATCCAAAACAGACCATGTCTTAGAGCATACAACATGTCTAAATAACTACAAAAGAACTGAAATAGTCTTTGCCTATCAGACTATAATGGGATGCAACTAGAAATCAAGAGCAAAAGGTACAACACAAATCACAAAACATATGGAGACTCAATAGTACATTCTTGAAAAATCAATGGGTCATAGAAGGAGAAATCAGGGAAGCAATTTTAAAAATTCCTAGAACCAAATGGCAATGTACCTATAACACATCAGAACATTTGGCAGACTGCAAAAGCAGTTCTAAGAGAGGTTATAGGTCAGAGTACCTATTTTAGAAAAAACTAAGTGAACCAAAATGAATTACATCATGATGCCTCTCAAGGTTCTATTAAAACAAGAACAATCCAGCCAGCTGTGGTGGCACACACCTGTAATCCCAGGACTAGGGAGGCTGAGGCAGGAGGATTACCATGAGTTCAAGGCCAGCCTAGGCTAGTTCAAGGCCAGTGAGTTCAAGGCCAGCCTGAATTACAGAGAGAAACCCTGCCAAAAAAAAAAAACAATCCAAAACCAAAATTGTAGAAGGAAAGATCTGAGTAGAAATCATAGTCTTCACAGTAACCAGGTGGGTTTCCATGGGATTCTTGCACACTGCTCATGGGAATGTAACATCACACAGTGGCCAAGGAATTCACAAGTTCATTGGGCCCAGTAAGTCTACCCTACACTCAAAAAGATTAAACCTCTCTGTGAACATGCAGAGAAACAGCATCCACAGGAGCCGAAGGACAAGCACTTCAAACACCCATGACCTGCCGAGTGGGTGAACAAGATGAGGTCTGTGCACAGAAGGAATACAAATTGTCACTAAAAAGGAGTGAAGCTCTGACACTGGCCACAGTGTGGATGACCTGTGACACTGCCCAGGGAAGATGCCAGTCCCAGACCACACACTGTCTAATCCCACCCAGGGAAACGTCCACAAAGGCAGGTCCACAGAGATGGAATGCAGATGGGTGGCTTTGGGGTGGGTGGTGCTACTGGCTGGCTGCTGGGTTTGGAGATGTT